GCTCGAGTGGTATTCATCTCACCGGCGCTCGCTTGTGTTTATCCAGAACCGAAGTTAAATTATAAAACTATATTCATAAATCGTTTATTTAAAATTCTATTCGTTAAGTAATTATAATTTGATTCATCATTATATCTTTCTGTATTCGTCTGCACAATCAATCTTCGAGTTGTGTTGCCATTGGCGGCTTGATTCAATACTAGGGTTTAAAGTTTCTTATCGTTTCATCAAGCAATTCAGAACTAAACTAGCTCGGCTGACAATAAAAAGGTCGAAAGAACTATAATCAACCATTGAATCCGTGCGTGAAACAGTGTCCAGACTAGATACAAAGAAAATTTGTTTTTTTTAAGTATCAGCAATTATCTATTATTTAGTGTCTAATGACTTATTAATTTTTCGAGTTAAAAATGTCATCATTATCAGTCTAACAATTCAGTCATGCTGTCGGCAGAGAAGATTCAACGTGCTTCTTGTCATCAATGTTTGTCTCGTGTGAGGCCATTTCGTAAGGAGATGGAACGGACGGTAAAGTCTCTTGGGCAGTTGTTTCACTGTCAATCGATTCCTCGTTGTCGAATTGTTGGTATGGAAGCTGTGTTGGCAGTGCAAGAACTTGGCCGCGTCGTTGTGATTGCGTTCTTTTGTTTCTTCTTCGATCAGCAATTACATAAACAATAATGGCTGTCGATGCAAAACAAAAAAATACCACGCCCGATACAATTAAAATTATGTACACAGGATCGAGACAAGGATTGCTTGATTCTCTGTCAGCACATTTATCAACGCAGCATTTTTCTTGAGGCAAACACTCTTTGTCGATGACACACTCACGGCCAAGACAATTCGTTCCCTTTACGCACTTGTAACTACAACATGTTTCTGACGATGAGCAATCCCCAGCGTCATCGCAGTATTTTTCGGCGTAACTTGAGCACAGAATACTTAAAAAGACGACAGTAACAAGGAAGACTTTGATTACCATCATTGAAAAGCCTTCGAGTGAATGCGGAAATTTCCGTTCATGACGTTTTGTCGCGTAACTGCGTTCCAATATCAAAGTCTGTTGCACAGTTCAGTCAACTGTACACTGACACGAAGATTGAAAAAACACTGTAAAGAGACGCATATACGACTCGTATTTTTTGTGCTAATAAAATTGATTTGGGAATATATCTCTACTAGACTAAAGATGGATATGAAAGCAGAGAGTTTTGAAATTTATTAAGCAATCGACCGTTGTATCTGAAGTCGGTAGATAAAGAGAGTGTGATTTTGAAAAGGTAACGGAGTTGTAATTACATATTTACCATAGATATTTCCAATGTTCCAAATGCAACACTATGATATTTAGTAACGTTTTTGTTGGTAAAAATCTATTTATTATCTACTATTTAGTGTCTAATGACTTAATTTTGATTTAAAAATGTCATCATTATTCTGACAATTCAGTCATGCTGTCGGCAGAGAAGATTCAACGTGCTTCTTGTCATCAGTGTTTGTCTCGTGTGAGTCCATTTCGTAAGAAGGTGGAACGGACGGTAAAGTCTCTTGGGCAGTTGTTTCACTGTCAAGCGATTCCTCGTTGTCGAATTGTTGGTATGGCAGTTGTGTTGTCGGTGCAAGAACTTGTCCACGTCGTTGTGATTGCAATCTGTTGCTTCTCCTTCGATGAACAATGACACCAACAATAATGGCTATTGATCCTGAACAAAGAAATACC